ACTTGTTCCTGGGCCATAACGGTGCCCAAGAGCTGAGCCCAGTTCCATCCCAGCTTGAACCCATCTCTCATGGAGCCAGAAGAGACCCTGTTCCATTCAGATTTTGATATTTCATTTTCTTTTCATTTGTAGCTGGAGGGATATAGGCAGCTGGAAGTGCTGTGCTAGCTGAGGCAGTTTGAGTTTCCTGGAAGAGGTTTCTGAGCTGCCATTTTGTAGAGCTCCAGGAAATCCATTGGACTTTTATTACTATGATTTATAAAGTGTTTAGAAGCGTGCTGGGTGGCTCACGGAAACAAGTAAAGAGCAAGACCATGCCCCAAAAGAGCTTATATGCCAACTTTAAAAAAATAATGTTAAGATTCCAAAGTCAAGCACTTAAAAGTTATGAAATGCTAGAATTAAGGATGCTTGTGCAACCTTATCTCAGCCCTCTTGGGTGCACACATTATGAAACAGTCTTAATTACACAATCACATACTGTTTTTTTCCACAGGGTTCCTGCCTCATTCAGTGCACAAAAGGATGGCTGGTGTTCATTCAACAGTTTTTCAACATTGTCTAATGTGTGACCCCAGGCCTTATTTACAGCACACTATTCAAACTCTGCTCCAAATAAAATTTAATTTTCTCATAGGCTTTTCTATGACACTCATCATTGTACTATCCACCCAGCTCCGATTCATCCCAGGAGCACCTATTTTCCATCAAAGCATGTTCAGTGGCATCAAATATGCTATACGCATGGCATCCCACATCAGCCTTTCCAACAATTTTGCCTGGGATCAATGTCTGGCTAAGTGGCCTATAGTTATCCAGGTCATCTTATTTATGCTTTTTAAATATTGGCACAATATTAGCATTTTCCCAGTCTTCTGAAACTTTCCCAATGTTCCAAAATGTGTTAAAAATCAACATTAATGATGCCGAGAGCTCCTTGGCTATACTGTTTAATAGTCCTGAGTTTAAGTTATCTGGTCCTGTTGGCTTTAAAGAGTTTAACTTTAATTGACTAGCTGCATCCTCTGCACTGAATGTCATGGGTCATGTGGAAAAAATACTAGTGATCATGTAATTAGAAACTGTATCATGGTGCATCCACACACAGGGGGCCAAATTAAGGGTGCACTGGCAGCCTTATTTCTAGCATTTCCTAACTTTGGAATGCTTGACTTTGCAATCTTAGCATTCTGCTAACACCGTTTTTGTGCCTAATTTGCTAGAGGGCCACACACTTTGTAGTATCTGTAGGCTGAGCATGAGCACAATGTACACAACAGGAGTTCCCTGCATTCCTCCATTCCCTACAATAAGCTCCCTGTGGGCCACCCTCCCATCCCCCAGTGTTTCAGGGACTCACAGCAATGCTTCCCCCCATCACGTCTGGGGCTTTGTGTGTCTCCCATTCTCCCCTTCACCACATGCCAAGGATTCTGTCTCCCCCTTTTTTGCTCCATTCCCCCCATGCCAGGAACTCTTTGTATCCCCAGCTTTCCTTTCCCCCATACTATGGTCTCCCATTCTCCCCCTCATGCCAAGGACTCTGGGTGCCCCCCTTACCTGTCCTGCAAGGGATTCAGTGTGCCCCCTTGCCAGGGCACCCTCTTCTTCTCCTCCAACCCTCATTGCTTTTCTCCTGTCTGAGAGAGAAATCATTAAGGCAGTCTCGATTTTAAACCTGTGTTGGGCCGGTGAGCAGAGCAGAAATGGGGAGGGTGTTATGCTGGAGAAGGGGTTAATGGCTGCCAGCAACCAGGTCTGTGATCTGGAGACAACTACATGTTGGGTTGAAGCTGATGCTTTACTACCCATATGCAAGAGCCTCCATGTGTCCCCCTTCTGGCTCCTTGCCCAGCCAGTCCCATTCCCCCCCACAATCCAGGCTCCTCATCCGATCTCAGTATCCACATACACACACACTCCCTGGCCCAGTCTCCTTCCCCAGCCAGTTCCAGTATCCCCTCCCATTCCTCATCCAATCTATTGCCTGCCCCCCCCCCCCCACTGGCTTCCAGTTCTGTCCCCATCCCCCACTGGTTCCCACTCTCCTGGCCCAGCCACTCCCAGTCTCACCCCTCCCAGCTCACAGTCCAAGGTGCCTTGGCCCAATCTACTCTCTCCTCCTTCAGTCCGACTACCCCACCTTCAGGCCTTCTCTTGTCCCCTCCACGTTTGAGTCTGGCTGCTTTCTCCGTCACTGCCTGGCATTGCGAGCACGAGAGAGAGAGAGAGAACATCTTCATGCTCTCAGTTCTCATACCGACAGGGCCGACGCTTCCACTAGGCAACCCTAGAGCAGCAGGATTTGGTGGGCGGCATTTTGCCACCCTCGGCGGAAATTCGGCGCCGGGGGGTCCTTCCGCTCCAGGTCTTCGGTGGAAATTCGGCGGCGGGTCCCGGAGCGAGTGAAGGACCCGCCGCCGAAGTGCCTCGAAGATGCGGAGCGGAAGGATCCCCGCAGCCGAATGCTCAGAGGAGGAGCGCTGCTGCCTAGGGTGGCAAAAACCCTGGTGCCACTCCTGCATACCGAACCTCAAAGCAGCCCACAACAGCAGGGAGTAGCAATTGCAGGGAAGGTCCTGCTCGGTCCCTGCCGTGTGGGACTGAACCAGCCTCAGTGCAGTTAATTTTCAGTGAATTTAACTGCCAAACACTATCAAGTCTCTGCTGAGCACCTGCAGACTGAGATGCTTTCAAAGACACAGATGTTGACCAAAGGTGGGTATGTTTCCTAGGAACTGCAAGAAGCACGTCTCTCACACCACACCAGGGTAACCCCTCTGCCCTGCTCCAAGTCCATCCCTGCAGAGATGTGCACTTCTCAACCAAAGAACTGTATGAATGTTTTTAACCAGGGTAAAACGACATATATTTTCCCTTAGCTCATTCTAAGAACATTTTTTGCTGAAACTTTAAACAACCAACCAAAAATCGGCCTGACGCAGACACTTGGCAGAGAACATTTCAGCCCAAATGGTTACAATTTGGCCAAGTTATACAGCTGAAAACAGAGTGTTATGCTGGGGAGTGTTGGCCACTCTTACGTAGAGCCAGCATGCCCAGCTCTACCTGTAATTCAGACAGTGAACAACAAGTAAAAGGCCAGAGAGTGGCTGAGTGCGACAGTGGGGCCTGTGGTGATGCCATTTACACGTCTTGGTGTGCTGTAACATGTTTTGTTTATCTCTTCTCTGTGCAATCATACAGCATCCTTGGGTCAACCAGTCTCCTCCTGCATCGGGCAGAGCGCCCGCATGCCCACTAACCTGCCATGCATTTCAGCCAGGGTGCGATTTTGCTCATAATTCACAGCATTCCTTCTGTACTTTTACAATCAGTAAGTAACTGATCCTTGGGCAGGTCTGTCATTCCTCCTCTTGTGCAGTGTGAGACGCTGAGGCACAGGGCAGTGACATGACTTAACCAAGGTCACATGGTGAGTCTAGTACTGCCAGGATTAGACTCGGGACCTCCTGACTCCCAGCCCTGTGCTCAATCCTCCAGACCAGGCTACTTCCCTATTTTACTAATATGTCGCCTAAACATTCTCTGTGGCCCCACTATCTCCTGAGTAGGTAGAGCAGGGGTGGGCAAACTTTCTGGCCTGAGGGCCACATCTGGGTATGGAAATTGTATGGCGGGCCATGAATGCTCACGAACTTGGTGGTTGGGATGTGGGAGGGGCTGAGGGCTCTGGCTGGGGGTGCAGGCTCTGGGGTGGGACTAGAAATGAGTTCAGGGTGCGGGAGGGGGCTCTGGGCTGGGGCAGGGGGTGGGGGTGCGGGTTGGGGGGTGAGGGCTCTGGCTGAGGGTGGGGGCTCTGGGGTGCAGGAGGGTGGGAGCGAGGGGTTTGGGGGATGGGAGGGAGATCAGAGCTGAGGCAGAGGGTTGGGGCACTGGAGGGGGTCAGGGGTGCAGGCTCCGGGCAGCATTTACCTCAAGCAGCTCCCGGAAGCAGTAGCATGTCCCCCTCTGGTTCCTACACAGAGGCGTGGCCAGGCGGCTCTGCGCACAGCCCCGTCCGCAGGCGCCGCTCCTGGGGCTCCCTTTGGCCATGGTTGCTGGCCAGTGGAAGCTGCGAGGGCAGCGCTTGAGGCGGGGGAAGCATGCAGAGGCCCCTGGCTGCTCCTATGCTTAGGAGTTGGAGAGGGGACATGCTGCTTCTTCTGGGAGCCATGGGAAGCCATGGCACACGTGGAGTGGGATAAGCCCCAGAGCCTGCTCACCGGCAGGGGCTCAAAGGCCAGATTAAAATGTCTGAAGGGCCGGATGCAGCCCCCGGACCGTAGTTTGCCCACCCCTGATGTAGAGGAAGGAATAATACTTTCATTCTCTTGGAGCATTTCCTATCCCTACCCTTCACTCCATCCTCCTGTAGCATCTCCTCCCTGACCTTTTTTGCCTGTAACTATAGTTCCTCTCATTTTGCTGTGTCTCTCCTCAGCTGTGTGCCACATTTCTGCACCACAGCATCCTGGGACACCCAGGAGGGACTCCTATCTCTTTGCATGGCACCCTGGAGGCTCCAATCCCTGTAAATGGAATCCAGTTGGTTCGGCACATCACTGCAATGCAGTCTTTGCCCTCCCTGACTTTACCCAGGATTCCTCTCTTCTAGTAGCTGAGAAGATCACTGGCTTTGCTGTAGTGAAGGCTCAAGTGTTCTGGGTACTTTATCTCAGTTGCTACTTGTGCTTTCCATTCCCTCTCCCTTGGTAACTTTCCACCTTTTCCTGTGTGGATGACTTAAGGCTCATGGTGATCAGCCCCTGCCACAATGGAGCATCAGAAAATCCTTGAGGAATCATGGTGTTAGTGTCCCAGGTACTGAACTCCATGCAAACGGTTTGGTTTTCATTCTGCTCTGCCTCGTCTTTACACTGACTTCTTGCTTCTCCAGGAAAGCCCTACTGGCAAATATAATGGCTAATACTAAATGTCTGGCCAGAGAATGTGTCTGATGAACCCTTACTGTGACATGCCTGCCCCATTCTCTCTAGGTCATTGATGTACAGAAGAGCTTTGTAAACATGGTGCCCACAAAGGTGGAAATCACCCTGCGAAAGGCCAGCCCCATGACCTGGGCCAAACTGGAGCATCTCCAGAGCAGCTCTCAGACCAGACCAGACCAGACCGAGAAAGACCCTATGGATGCCGAGGACCCCGAAGGAGTGCAATGGGAGGAGTCAGATGACAGCTTGAGCTGGTCAGAGGAGGGAGATGAGGAGGGGGAGGAAGGAGCAGTAAGCAAATGACATTCATGTAGAGTCTTCAAAAGAGAGATTGAAGCCTCTTTCTTTCAAAGACAAGCATGTGGGACCCCAGAACCATCTCCAGGTGAGCAGATTGAATTCCCTGGAGACTGAGGGCCAGCTCTGAATTTAAAGCTGCTAGAGACACTGCCTCCCAAGTGTAAAGAGTTCAGCTCACCTATGTCTCTCTGGCATTGTCTACACTGGGATATTTCTTGTACACTTGGGAGGAAGTTAAATAGCAGCTACTAAAGTTTGACATTTTTAAATCAGCATCCAGGCGTTTTAAAAGAGCTGGCTGAGGAGCTCAATGGACTGTTAATGTTAATTTTCATTAAGTCCTGAAAAATCACAGAAGTTCCAAAACACTGGAAGAAAGCTAATGTTGTGACAGTATCCAAAAGGGTAAACCATATAACCTGGGTAATTATGCACCTGCCAGTATGACATTGATCCCAGGAAAGATAAAGGAGCGGCTGATATGGGACTTAATTATATTACTCTCCTTTAATTTTTTATTAATAAATGCCAATCAACATGGGTTTATGGAAAATAGATCCTGTCAAAACTAATTTGATATCTTTCTTGAATGAGATTACAAGTTTTGTTGATAAAGGTAATAGTGTACCACATAACATTTTGATTAAAAAATTGGAATGATATTAAGATGGCACACATTAAGCAGATTAAAAGCTAGCTAATGGATAGGTCTCAACATTTAATTATAAATGGGGAATCATCATTGAACAGGTGTGTTTCTAGTGGGGTCCTGCAAAGATCAGTGTTTGGCCCTACACAATTTAATATCTTTATTAATGACATGGCAGAAAACATAAAAACCATTATTGATAAAGTTTGTAGATGATCCAAAAATTGGGGGTGGTGGTCAATATTGAAAAGGAGAGGTCACTGATACAGAGTAAACTGCATCGCTTGGTAAGCTCAGTGCAAGCAAACAATATGTATTTTAATATTCATAGATTCCATGTTGTAGTGAGGTGAGACTCACTGGCATGGCGCCTCCTGCTGGTTGTTCTGGGAATTAGCTCTTCCAGCCCAGAGCACCCTCTGCAGGCTGGTGTCTCACCTGCCACTGGCCCCCATGTCCCTCCCAGACCCCAGTGCCCTTTACCCTGGGATCTCCCCTCCCCGGGGAACCCCCAACCCTCTAAACCCACCTTGCCTCAGTGGCTACTGCCAGTCATCATCTAGCCCCCGCTCCCTGGGGCCGATTGCAGTCTGTAAACCACTCATCGTCGGCAAGGGGGTTAGGACCTGCTGCCTTTGCCTATCTCTGGGCTGCCCCTCTGCAGCCCCAGTACCTATTTGGCCCTTTTAGCACGGCCTGCAGCCTGGTTTTTTTCCTGGCTGGAGCTCCCCAGCTCCCTCTGTCCTTCCCCAGCACTGCTCCACCTCAGGTACCCTTCTCAGCTCCCAGGCAGCCAGGTCCTTCTCTCTCTCTCAAGAAGTTTCTGCCTCTGGCCATGTGCACTGCTGTCTCACTCTGGGTGTCCAGTCACCTGCCTCCCACCTAAACCCCAGAGCTATCCATGAACCTGGAGAAACTAGGGGTTCACCCACCTAGCTCGGGTGTGAGGGCCAGAGGCAGAAACTTAGGTACTTAAGGAACTTTTACCCTGACAATGTAGGTGCTGAATGAGTTTAGGCACCTACAGGGATTGGTGGCAATTTTGTGGGTTGCAGTGGAGCCTAAACCCCAAACTTAAGGGTCTAAACACCTTTAAGAATCTGGGCCCAAGAGCTTTGCTGTTACTAAGGTCTCTGAAGATTCCCACAATAGTTTGGTTCCCATGCTTGCAGAGCTCCCTGCCCACAAAAGAATAGTCTATACTAGTCAAATACCTGATCCCCCATCCCTTCAGAGCAAGAGAAGGTATCCCCCATCCCTCACACAGGAACAGTGATACCTGAAAAAAAACCAAAAAAACAGCTCTCCTCAAACCGAACACCCAGAGACACCACCAAGAGTGAAATGGTGAATTGGCTCAGTACAATGGGGCCAGAGTCAAACAAGGTGCCTGAGAAATGGGCTCTTTCACATGGCGTGGAGCGGCCAGGAGCACAATAAAGCTACAGAGCTAAGAGCTTTATTAGTAGTAACCCGGCGTGACACAGATAACCAGTCCTGCTGCTGAGTGCATCAACTCCAAGTGCCTCCTGGCACATCTCCCCTCTGAACTCCAATAACACTCTTCCCAAATTACCACCATTTCTACTAAAATAGGTGAATAGAGAACAGTTCAACATGATCTAACTATAAACCTTCCCCAGAGGGCAAGACAGCCTGCCTGAACCTCTGAGCTCGCTGAGATAGTTATTCTGTCTCATGTTCAGTGGCCCTCGGGTAACTGCATGTGCTGCTATCTTCTCTTCCACTGCTGCTGCTGCTTCTTCTTCTTTTTTTTTTTTAAATACTCTATCCCTTTTCCTTCTGTTTGGCTTTAATCTTGTCCTCTCACTATTCATAAATTCCCAAGGCAGAGGGGACCATTGTGATCATCTAGGCCTAGGGTGACCAGATGTCCCGATTTTATAGGGCCAGTCCCGATTTTTGGGTCTTTTTCTTATATAGGCTCCTATTACCCCCCACCCCCATCCCGATTTTTCACACTTGCTGTCTGGTCACCCAATCTAGGCCAGTGGTTCTCAACCTACTTACCATTGTGGGCTGCATTCACGCAATATGTACATTACCTGTATGGCCCTGAGGATGTCACATGGACTGCAGCTGTGTGCTGTTTGGGCCGCGGGTTGAGAACCACTGGTCTAATCTGACCTGTATAACACAGGCCATAGGCAAGCATAGGAGACAGGACACTGGACTAGATGGACCTTGGGGCTGAACCAGCCTGTCAATTCCAAAAGCCTATGAGATGGGATTTATGCTTTTATGTTAAATGCTGTTCATTTTGTTTCCTTATTTACCTACGCTCCCTCACCCATCCCTCACACCTTGGTTTGAGTTTAAACATCTTCTACATTGTTTAATTTCTTGCAGTAGTTTAACACAGAATTATGTTTTCTTAAAAAAAAAATGATAAAGAATTTTGTAAAGACAAAACATTAAAGTTTGGGCCCAAATTACTTCTGGCATTTGTAAAAAATATGTGGTCACTGGGAGCTAGCTAAGTACTGAACCACCTCCTGTGGGTTCCACAGTGCCTCTTGCCTTCTCTTTTTGACTGTAAGTTTTCTGGATCTTGGAGTGTCTTTATACTTGCATTATGCACAACACAAAGCACACTTGTAGTTAAGAAATAATAAATAGGTGAAGTTCTCCACTCAGATACAAGTCACTTCTGTTAACAGGTTGGATTCTGGGTCCAAGAGAGTTAAGTCTAAAGCTGACTGCAAAGAGTTATAAAGAGATCTCACTAAACTGGGTGACTGAGCAACAAAATGGCAGATGAAAATCAATGTTTATAGGTACAAAAAAATAATCCCAACTATACATATGAAATGATGGGGTCTAAATTAGCTGTTACCACTGAAGAAAAAGATCTTGGAGTCATTGGGGATAGTTCTCTGAAAACATCTCAATGTGTAGTGGCAGCCAAAAAAGCTACCAATGTAGGCACCATCAGGAAAGGGATAGATAGACCGAAAATATCATAATACTTCTGTACAGATATAGCACACCCACACTTGGACTACTGAGGGCAGTGCTGGTTGCCCCAGCTCAAACAGATGTATTTGAATTGGAGAAAGCACAAGGAAGGGGAAGGAAAGGGCTGGATCAGGCACTAACTGCCCTGGCATGGTCACGCCTGCTGAGGCACGTGGCACTGGCCACTGGTGCAAGACAGGACACTGGGCTAGACGGACTATTGCTCTGACCCAGCCTGGCCGCTCTGATCACGGCCCCACAAGACCGGCTTCCCTTGCATGCAGCGCCGAGCGCACTGGGCAGGAACCCACAGGCTGGCACAGCCCAGGGCAGGCCTGACCCCGGGCACCCACAACCTCCTGGGGGGTGCTCCCTGGCCACGTGAGGCTGGGCTGAGTCCTCCCACACCCCAGCCCAGCACGCACCCGGTGGGTGGGCCTGGGCTGCGGGGAGCCATCGCACTGCCCCGGAGAGCGCTGGGCCTGGGAGAGTAGGGGCGGAGCCTGCGGATGGCCAGCGTGTCCAGGGTCATAGAATCATAGACTAACAGGGTTGGAAGGGACCTCAGGAGGTATCTAGTCCAACCGCCTGCTCAAAGCAGGACAGATTTTTACCCCAGTTCCCTAAGTGGCCCCTCCAAGGATTGAACTCACAATCCTGGGTTTAGCAGGCCAATGCTCAAACCACTGAGCTATTCCCCCCGTCGCAAAGCCTGGTCCTGATTTGCGGCCCCCAGGACGGTTGGGGCGGAGTCATGGCGATCCCGGAATCGCCCGAGGAAGGAGCTAGCTCGACCTGAGGTACTACATCTCCCAGAGAACACCGCGCTCGTAGGCGCACATGCGCAGTGTGGGGTGCCGAGGGGCGCGCATGCGCAGGGTGGGTCCCAGGGAGGGTCCCAGGAGGTTACTCGACTCGTACCGGTCGTTGCCGCCGAGGGCCCGAGCGCGAGAGGAGCCTGCGGCGAGTGCGGTCTCCGCCGGCCGACCCGAGGTGAGCGCGGGGCCAGCTCCCCGGGGGCGCTCTGGCCGCGCGGAGCAGGGAGCGCAGCCTGGTCTTCTGTCCCGGAGCCGGCTCCGGGCTGCAGCGGCCGCGGGCCGGTGTCTCGGCGACTCGCCCGTGTAGTGCGCTGGGAGGCCGCGCGGGGCCCCGGTGCGCTGCCTCCATCTTGGGCACCTCACGCTCGCCTGAGCCTGTCCCCGCGCCCTGAGCAGGGCCGGGCCTCCCGACCGGGCTGAGCCCGCGGCCCAGCGACACGGCGGCTGTGGGCGAGCAGGGGCTCGAGGGCGGCTGTCCTGAGCCAGGCTAGTGCCCTCGCCCTAGGCGCAGCCTGCCCCGGTGTCGCCTCAGCGCGTGCCCGGGCAGGCTCGTTGCGATTCCCGTCGGGCCTGGGGCTGCTCTGCTGCCGCCTTCTCCGTGCGGGACCCAGGTGAAGCGGCTTTCCCAAGGGACCGCGTCACTGCCCCCGCTGCCTAGAGCACCCTCAGCGATTCTTGCCTTCCCGCGTGAAGCAGGAGGCGTTGTGTGCACCACCGTTTTGTTTTGTTTAGTGTTTTTCATACATCCCTATCTCCAATGCTTGAGTTAATTTCCTTGTCAATGTAGTGTTTCTCTTCCTCACTTTCAAGGTATTGCCCACCTCTATTGGTCCGCTTTTGTCTTTCGTGCTTTGTGCTCAGTGCCTCTCCGCTAAGGCTCTCCCCCTCATCTCGTTTGTTATCTTCCTATTAGATGTTTCTTCACAGGCAGGGCTTCTGAAACGGATCAGAATTATGCAGAGTATGTCATGCCACTGCTTGGTAAAGTGATGGGCTGCAGTTGTGGCCTTGGTGCTGTCTGTCAGAAGACTCAGGAAGGCAACGTAACCTGAATATAAGACATGTGATCTTTATAACCACAATTTCTTACATAA